TTAACAGATATTATTAAGATTAGATGGTCCTAATGGGATAAGACCAAATTCAGTGATTCGAAATCAAGATTTTCAAATTACTCCTTGGCCTACAGAAACACTGACACAGACACACACGCACACACATATACATATATAAATAAATACAAATATCTCTTCACGCACGCACACATACATCAATATGCATATATACGCATATGTGCATATATATATAGATATATAAATATATTCATATATATACATAGATACACATATATATGTATATGCACACACACACACACACACACACGTATATATATATATATATATATATATATATACATATATATATATATATATATATATATATATATAAATGTGTATATGTATATATATGTATATATGTAAATACATATGCATATGCATATATGTAATATATATATATATATATATATATATATATATATATATATATATATATATATATATATATATATATAAGCATCTAGATGTATATACGTATATATATATATATATATATATATATATATATATATATATATATATAATAGCATCTAATGTATATACGTATATATATATATATATATATATATATATATATATATATATATATATATATATCTATGTATACTATATATATATATTTGCATATATGCATATATATGCATATATACATGTGTGTAATATGTAAATAAATATGCATATATATACATAAATACACACATATATGAATATGTACATGCGCACACACACATACACACAAGCACACCAACACTCAAAAACATATACATCCTTATAATATCCATGTATATGTATGTATGTATTCACACTCACATACACACGCACACACACATTCTATGAGAGGTTTGCAGGGATATGAATCGCCTTATTGGGCAGGTTCAGAAATCCGAGTCGCGATTCAAAAAGGAGAAACGCGAATGCCAAACCCTCTCACCATGAACGTTTTGTTTAGTGCTAGGACTGGCCATGCAAGCAGTTGATTTATCATTGATGCAGTCAGACTGAAATACACAGTTGTTTGTGTTATGTTTACACACACACACACACACACACACACACACATATATATATATCGTTAGAACTGACTTGAAGAGTGTCTAAAACTATTATAAATAATTAAGATTTGATTTGATGATCTTCAGGATGCTTAAAATGATAAGTTACCCGATGTGCAGGAAAGTGACTAAAATAGACTTTGTGAATTGAAATTATGAAGTCAAATCTCAAAATCGTCAAATGAATCTGTATGAAAACAATTGCATCAAATCACTTGTTATTCATTTCCGCATAAAAGAAGAGTCAAAGAAAGAAAGCGTAAGTAATTTAAACATAATGAGGGACAGAAGAGGCGCAGCGAGAAGGGAAGTGCAACATGTCTTTCACTTGTTTCGTTTTGTTGACTTTTTATGATTATATACTGACCTTCAATATATAAGACAATAGACAATAGCCATTTTTTTTTTACTTACCATGGCATATACTTAACAGAAAGCACGATTGAGAGAGAGAAGGCATGTATATGTATCATATGTATATACATGTATATGAATATATATATATATATATATATATATATATATATATATATATATATATATATATATACTTAGATACACACACACACACACACACACACACACACACACACACCACACACATATATATATATATATATATATATATATATATATATATATATAAGTATATATGTGTATGCATGTACTCGTATATACACACATATATCATGCATATATCTCCGTATATATACATATATATACACACAGATGAATAATGTATGCATCGTCTGGCTCGACAGATATCTGTATACATCGATTACAACAATAAACACATATTGTATGAATACAGATGCGGAAATGCTGATAGGTAAATAAATAAGAGATAAATTTACTGTTGAGAAAAAGAAAGGTTAAATGAATTAAGCAGTAGGATTTGTACTTTATTTTTGGTAGACCAATAACCTGTATGATAATCCCAGAGAAAGTCCAGTTTTGGTGATAAGAATTTTCATCAGCAATTTTCTGTTGCAACGAAGGGCAGCCTAGAGATCTCGTTTGAAGGGAAGCTGAGGAGGCTCAACGAGTCCTTCGAACTCCTCGCTAGACGAGGCTACGAGGACTCGCGATTCCTCCTCCCAGTCCCAGTGAGGAAGGATGCTGAGAGTGTCGTCCTATTCCTCAGCGACTGGTTTGTCCTCTGCTACCGCCTTTTCTTCAGCCATAGGTTCCTCCTCAGCCACTGGTTCACCATCGGATGCAGCTTTTTCCTCAGCCATAGGTTCCTCCTCAGGTTCCTCAGCCATCAAGCCATTAGCTCCTCCTCCTCAGCCATTAGCTCCTCCTCAGCCATCAGCTCCTTAGCCATTAGCTCCTCCTCAGCCATAAGCTCTTCCATGCCTGCAGCTTCCTCCTCAGCCATAGGTTCCTCCTCGACGGCCTCGTCGGCCTTGACCATGAAGGGGTAAGTGTAAGGGAAGCTGTAGGGGAAGGTGTTGGGGACGGTGTTGGGGAAGGTGTAGGGGAAAGTGTGGGGGTAGGTGTAGGTTTGGGGGAGATTGTGACCTGTTGGAGGAGGAATATTTAGCACGATATGTATAACAAAGAATTCTGAATTACGAATATTTGATGGCATTTTCATATCACTTTGAACAGAATAAGGAATATTCTAAATTTTGTCAAAATGTAAAGATACATTTGAAAGATGTATTAGCTCCTCACCCATAAGCTCTTCCATGCCTGCAGCTTCCTCCTCAGTCATAGGTTCCTCCTCGACGGCCTCGTCGGCCTTGACCATGAAGGGGTAAGTGTAAGGGAAGCTGTAGGGGAAGGTGTTGGGGAAGGTGTTGGGGAAGGTGTGGGGGTAGGTGTAGGTTTGGGGGAGATTTTGACCTGTTGGAGGAGGAATATTTAGCGCGATATGTATAATAAAGAATTCTGAATTACGAATATTTGATGGCATTATGATATCGCTTTCAATAGAACAATTTTGTCAAAATGTAGAGATACATTTGAAAGAGAAAAATGTTTCCAGTATGAGACTGACCGTAGGGGTAGACGAGGGGCACGGTGCTGGCAGGGGTATGTGCCTTGGCAGAGTTGACGACGGGGTAGAGGAGTGGACGTATGGATGGCCGTAGGAGTAGACGAAGCGGGGTGAGGAGAGGGCATGGCAGCAGCACAGGCCGCCAGAGCGAGAACCAGCTGTTACGATGTTCAACATTACATCAGATATGAGATATATTTTCCTATGGAAGCCGCTACTTAAATGATTCTCAATTGTATTATGTCTTATTCTCTTATGCTTATTGGAAATACAGTAAAAGAACACAACTTTAGAGTCACAACGAGATCTTACCATAACCTTCATGATCAATATTCGTCTTGAGGAATCCGAGATGGACGACTGACAGCTGACTAGGCTCGTCGCAGGCTTATATACGCAGCCCATAGTAGGCTGATCCTGTGATGACGTTACTACTAGAGGTACTACGTTTGATCATCAACAACTTCCTTTGTGAAAAACGTTTACATTTTTATTCGACTATACTGTACTAGAGTATTAACATATTTTCAAACCATTTATGTGAAGGAAATGTTTATATACTTAGGGATCCTGGGCTTTTATTATATTTCTTACCAAACAGTGATCATCCATAAGCGGAGTTATAATTAGAGAAAATGTTATCCATGACCAGAACCGTTCTGGCATAAACAGACCCAGACCGGTAGTTCGGAACTGTCAGCCATGTCAAACATGATCATGAATTTTTTTAACCGGGGAGCATTGCACTTACTATAGATCATTTGGTCCTTCCCTTCCGTGATCCGTATGTTTAGATCATTATATAAATCTCATCAGTACCGTATGTAAATATATATATGTATTTTCATATATATATATATGTGTGTGTGTGTATATGTATATATATATATATATATATATATATATATATATATGTATCCATCTAGATCTATCTATATATATTTAGTTATTTATACAGACAAACATATATATGTATATATACATACATACAAGCTCAAATCTATATATGTATATCTTCATGTATGTTTACATATATACATACACAAGAAACACACACACACACGCGCATATATATATGGGTGTGTGTGTGTACATATATATACATACATATATCTATATATACATATATATATATATATATATACACATATATATGTATTCACACATATACGCACACACAGTCTATGGAAGGTTTGCAGGGATATCAATCGCCTGGGGTGACAGGTTTAGAAATCCGAGTAGCGATTCGAAAAGGTGAAGCGCGAGTGCCAAACCCTCTCACCATAAACGCGTTTTGTTTACTGCTAGGACTGTTCATGGAAGCAGTCAATTTACCCTTGCTTTCAAACTGAAAAACATTTCGGAATAGTTTCCCTTTTTGAATTCGTGGTTGATTGTTTATTTTTTATAGTGTTAGAACTGACTTCAAGGGTATCTCAAATGATTATAAATGATTTAAATTTGATTTTATGATCAATATGCTTAAAACAATACTCAAATGTTATCTGTTGTGCAGGAAAATAAGTCACTAAAACAGACTTTATGAACTGTTATGAAGCTAAATCTCACAATTTTCAGTAGAATCAGTATCAAGATAACGGTATTACATCAATTGTTACTCACTTCCGCAGAAAGAAAATGAGTCAAAGAAAGAAAACGCAATTTAAAGCTTAATGAGGGACAGAGGAGGAGCTGCTAGATGGAAAGTGCAACTTGTCTGTCACTTGTTTTGCTTTATTTACTTTTTATGGCTTTATTTTGATGTTCCACATGCTGTATAAGACAATAGTATGGCATACTTAAAATAAAGCAGGGAAAGGAGGGAAATATATGTACATGTAGATATATGTAGATGTGTATTTATGTGTATTATATATGTACATATTTACGTATGCATTTACATATATCATATATATATTCATATATATAAGTATATGTAAGCATGTACTCATGCACACACAATATATATTATATATATATATATATATATACACAGATGAATAATGTATGTATTATCTATACGGATATCTGTACATACACACAAGTATCGATTATAACAATAAACACAATGTTTAAATGTAGATGCGTAAATACTGATTGGTATATATATATATATATATATATATATATATTATATATATAATATATATAATTACTCTCTTTACCTAATACCCAATTCAGAAAGTTAAAAAGGTTCAAATGAATTAAGCAGTAGAATTTGTAATTTATTTTTGGTAGACCAATAACCTGTATGATAATCCCTTAGAAAGTCCAGTTCTGGTGATAAGAATTTTCACCAGATCGCGTATCAGGATCGACGTGGCCACATAACGGGGTCAGCGAGACTAGAGACATTCATGTTTTGAGAATGTAATTTTCTGTTGCAACGAAGGGCAGCCTAGAGATCTCGTTTGAAGGGAAGCTGAGGAGGCTCAACGAGTCCTTCGAACTCCTCGCTAGAAGAGGCTACGAGGACTCGCGATTCCTCCTCCCAGTCCCAGTCAGGAAGGATGCTGAGAGTGTCGTCCTATTCCTCAGCGACTGGTTTGTCCTCTGCTACCGCCTTTTCCTCAGCCATAGGTTCCTCCTCATCCCATCGGATGCAGCTTTTTCCTCAGCCATAGGTTCCTCCTCAGCCATTAGCTCCCTAGACATAGCTCCTCAGCCACTTTCCTCCTCAGCCATCAGCTCCTCAGCCATAAGCTCTTCCATGCCTGCAGCTTCCTCCTCAGCCATAGGTTCCTCCTCGACGGCCTCGTCGGCCTTGACCATGAAAGGGTAAGTGTAAGGGAAGCTGTAGGGGAAGGTGTTGGGGAAGGTGTAGGGGAAAGTGTGGGGGTAGGTGTAGGTTTGGGGGAGATTGTGACCTGTTGGAGGAGGAATATTTAGCACGATATGTATAATAAAGAATTCTGAATTACGAATATTGATGATGGCATTTTATGACTTTCTTTCAAAAGGAAAACAATTTTGTCAAAATGTAGAGATACATTTGAAAGAGAAAATGTTTTTAGTATGAGACTGACCGTAGGGGTAGACGAGGGGCACGGTGCTGGCAGGGGTATGTGCCTTGGCAGAGTTGACGACGGGGTAGGAGGAGTGGACGTATGGATGGCCGTAGGAGTAGACGAAGCCGGGGTGAGGAGAGGGCATGGCAGCAGCACAGGCCACCAGAGCGAGAACCAGCTGTTACGATGTTAAACAATGTATCAAATGTATGAAACATATTTTCCCATGGAAGCCGCACCATGAATGTTCTATGGCTTACTGTCCTATTCTTATTGAAAATACAAATTGAAGGACTCATAACTTTTAAGTCACAGCGAGATCTTACCATAACCTTCATGATGAATATTCGTCTTGAGGAATCCGAGATGGACGACTGACAGCTGACTAGGCTCGTCGCAGGCTTATATACGCAGTCCATAGTAAGGGGAACAAATGATGACGTCATTCGTGGAGTTACTACGTTTGATTTTTTTTCACTTTCCTTAAGAAAAAAAAAAAACTTTTGATTATTTGTTTATTATAAGTACTTGGATCTTAACATGTTTGCTAACTATTTTTAGGAAAGAAATGTTTATATGCCTAAGGCTTATTTACAGTAATGATCATCCATAAATTGAGTTATAATTAGAGAAAGTGATAACTATGACCACAACCGTTTCTCGCGTGAACAGACCCAGACCGGTAGTACGGAACTATCAGCCATATCACATATTAGTGTCATCGTCATGAAAATTAGTCCCGGGGAGCATTGCACTTCCTACAGATTCCGAACCTTCCTTAGCCTATCGATTGATCTATTAATGCCAATAGACTTCATCGGTACCCTTTTCCAGAAGGAATAATTAATTTAGAGTCACTAGGATGAGACAATGTTCAGTGTGATTCGAAATCGAGATTTTCAAGTAAATCCTTGGCATACAGAAAACCCCCCTCCCCCCTCATGGTTTCAGATCTTGAACTCATTGTTGATATATATACATACATTACATACATATATGTATATATATATATATATATATATATATATATATATATATATATATGTTTATATATGTGTCTGTATGTATGTACAGACACACTTACACATACATCAATATGTATATATATGTATACAAATATCTATATACATGTATACATACATACATACATATATATATATATATATATATATATATATATATTATATATATAATATATATATACACACACACACACACACACACACACACACACACACACACACACACACACACACACACATATATTATATATAATATATTATATATATACATATATATATACATAAATACGCACACACACACACACACACACACACACACACACACACACACACACACACACACTATATATATATATATATATATATATATATATATATATATATATATATATATATATATATATATATTCATATATTTGTATATACATATATATGTATATATGTATTATATATTTGTATACATACATACATTATATATATATATATATACATATATATATATATATATATATATATAATATATAATATATATATATAACACACACACACACACACACACACACACACACACACACACACACACACACACACACACATATATATATATATATATATATATATATATATATATATATATGAATGCATACATTCGTTCACATACGCATACACAGACATTAATGTGCATAAATATATGCATATATATATATATATATATATATATATATATATATATATTATATATGCATATATATGTGTGTGTGTATGTATATATACACACACATGTATGTATATATATACGTATATACATATGCATGTGTGTGTGTGTACATATGTCTATACATATGTACATATATATAAATATATATGTATATACAGTATATATGACTATATACATGCACACACACACGCATACAAACATTCACACTCACAAACACACACATATATATGCATTATATATATGTATGCATTCACACATACGCACACAGTCTATGAAAGGTTTGCAGGGATATGAATCGCCTTATTGGGCAGGTTTAGAAATCCGAGTCGCGATTCAAAAAGGTGAAGCGCGAATGCCAGTCCCTAGGACTGGTCATGCAAGCAGTTGATTTATGCCTGATGCACTCAGACTGAAAGGCATTCTGAATTGTTTGCCTTTTTTGAATTCGTGGTTGCTTATGTTATGTATATGTGTGTGTGTGTGTGTGTGTGTGTGTGTGTGTGTGTGTGTCGTTAGAACTGACTTGAAGAGTGTCTAAAACTATTATAAATAATTAAAATTTGATTTGATGATCTTCAGTATGCTTAAAATGATAACTGTTGCCCGATGTGCAGGAAAGTGACTAATTCGCTTTGTGAATTGAAATCATGAACTCAAATCTCAAAATCGTCATGCGAATCTGTATGAAGATAATGGCATCAAATCACTTGTTATTCATGTTCGCATAAAAGAAGCTTTGTTGACTTTTTATTACTATACACTGACCTTCAATACATAAGACAATAGACTCTGTAGCGCCATTTTTTTTTACTTAATTTACCGTGGCATATACTTAACAGAAAGCACGAGAAAGAGAGAAGGCATGTATATGTATCATATGTATATACATATATATACTGGAATATATATATACTTTGATATATATATGCATGTACTCGTATATATACATATATATCATACATATATATACGTATATATACGTACATATACACACAGATGAATAATATGTGTATCATCTGACTCGACAGATATCTGTGTATACATCGATTACAACAATAAACACATATTGTATGAATGCAGATGCGTAAATGCTGATAGGTAAATAAATAAGGGATAAATTTACTGTTTACCTAATACTCAGTTCATAAAGTTGAGAAAAGAAAGGTTAAATGAATTAAGCAGTAGGATTTGTACTTTATTTTTGGTAGACCAATAACCTGTATAACAATCCCAGAGAAAGTTCAGTTTTTGTGATAATTTTCATCGGCAATTTTTTGTTGCAACGAAGGGCAGCCTCGAGATCTCGTTTGAAGGGAAGCTGAGGAGGCTCAACGAGTCCTTCGAACTCCTCGCTAGACGAGGCTACGAGGACTCGCGATTCCTCCTCCCAGTCCCAGTGAGGAAGGATGCTGAGAGTGTCGTCCTATTCCTCAGCGACTGGTTTGTCCTCTGCTACCGCCTTTTCCTCAGCCATAGGTTCCTCCTCAGCCATTAGCTCCTCCTCAGCCATCAGCTCCTCAGCCATTAGCTCCTCCTCAGCCATAAGCTCTTCCATGCCTGCAGCTTCCTCCTCAGTCATAGGTTCCTCCTCGACGGCCTCGTCGGCCTTGACCATGAAGGGGTAAGTGTAAGGGAAGCTGTAGGGGAAGGTGTTGGGGAAGGTGTGGGGGTAGGTATAGGTTTGGGGGAGATTGTGACCTGTTGGAGGAGGAATATTTAGCACGATATGTATAATAAAGAATTCTGAATTACGAATATTTGATGGCATTTTCATATCACTTTGAACAGAATAAGGAATATTCTAAATTTTGTCAAAATGTAAAGATACATTTGAAAGATGTATTAGCTCCTCCTCACCCATAAGCTCTTCCATGCCTGCAGCTTCCTCCTCAGCCATAGGTTCCTCCTCGACGGCCTCGTCGGCCTTGACCATGAAGGGGTAAGTGTAAGGAAGCTGGGGAAGGTGTTGGGGAAGGTGTTGGGAAGGTGTGGGGTAGGTGTAGGTTTGGGGAGATTTGACCTGTTGGAGGAGGAATATTTAGCACGATATGTATAATAAAGAATTCTGAATTACGAATATTTGATGGCATTATGATATCGCTTTCAATAGAACAATTTTGTCAAAATGTAGAGATACATTTGAAAGAGAAAATGTTTTCAGTATGAGACTGACCGTAGGGGTAGACGAGGGGCACGGTGCTGGCAGGGGTATGTGCCTTGGCAGAGTTGACGACGGGGTAGGAGGAGTGGACGTATGGATGGCCGTAGGAGTAGACGAAGCCGGGGTGAGGAGAGGGCATGGCAGCAGCACAGGCCACCAGAGCGAGAACCAGCTGTTACGATGTTAAACATGCATCAAATGTATGAAACATATTTTCCCATGGAAGCCGCACCATGAATGTTCTATGGCTTACTGTCTATTCTTATTAAAATACAAATTGAAGGACTCATAACTTTTAAGTCAGAGCGAGATCTTACCATAACCTTCATGATGAATATTCGTCTTGAGGAATCCGAGATGGACGACTGACAGCTGACTAGGCTCGTCGCAGGCTTATATACGCAGTCCATAGTAAGGGGAACAAATGATGACGTCATTCGTGGAGTTACTACGTTTGATTTTTTTCACTTTCCTTAAGAAAAAAAAAAAAAAACGTTTTGATTATTTGTTTATTATAAGTACTGGGGTCTTAACATGTTTGTTATTTATAAGAAAGAAATGTTTATATACTTAAGGCTTATTTACAGTAATGATCATCCATAAATTGAGTTATAATTAGAGAAAGTGTTAACTATGACCACAACCGTTTCTCGCGTGAACAGACCCAGACCGGTAGTACGGAACTATCAGCCATATCACATATTAGTGTCATCGTCATGAAAATTAGTCCCGGGGAGCATTGCACTTCCTACAGACTCCGAACCTTCCTTAGCCTGTCGGCTCCGATCATGATCTATTAATGCCAATAGACTTCATCGGTACCCTTTTCCAGAAGGAATAATCATTTGTAATTAACACTGATTATGAAGATTAGACGGTCTCACTAGGATGAGACAATGTTCAGTGTGATTCGAAATCGAGATTTTCAAGTAAATCCTTGGCATACTGAAAGCCCCCCCCCCCCCCTCCATGGGTTCCAGATCTTGAACTCATTGTTTATATATACATACATACATACGTATACATATGGATATATTTATATATGTGTATGCATGTACAGACACATATTCATACACATATATATATATGTATATACATATCTGTATACATGTATACATATATATATATATATATATATATATATATATATATATATATATATATATATATATATGAATATACATATACATACATATATTAATATATTTAGATAAGTACACACATATGTACATGCACACACACACACACACACACACACACACACACACATATATATATACAGCTACATGTATATGCGTATATATGTATATATATATTTATATTTGTATACACACGCACACATATTCGTTCACATAAGCATACACAGACATTAATATGTATAGATATATGCATATATGTATACATAAATATCTATATGTATGTGTGTATGTATATAAACACACACACACACACACACACACACACACACATATATATATTATATATATATATATATATATATATAATATATATATATGTATGTATGTGTGTGTGCATATCTCTATACATATGTACATATGTACATATATACACATATATATGCATGCATATATATATATATATATATATATATATATATATATATATATATATATCACACATACGCACAGTCTATGAAAGGTTTGCAGGGATATGAATCGCCTTATTGGGCAGGTTTAGAAATCCGAGTCGCGATTCAAAAAGGTGAAGCGCGAATGCCAGTCCCTAGGACTGGTCATGCAAGCAGTTGATTTTGCCTGATGCACTCGACTGAAAGGCATTCTGAATTGTTGCCTTTTTTGAATTCGTGGTTGCTTGTGTTATGTTATATATACATATACATACATACATATATATATATATATATATATATATATATATATATATATGTGTGTGTGTGTGTGTGTGTGTGTGTGTGTGTGTGTGTGTGTGTGTATCGTTAGAACTGACTTGAAAGTGTATAAAACTATTATAAATAATTAAAATTTGATTTGATGATCTTCAGTATGCTTAAGATGATACTGTTACCCGATGTACAAGAAAGTGATTAAAATAGTCAAATCCCAAAATCTGTATGAAGATAAAGGCATTAAATCACTTGTTATTCATTTTCGCATAAAAGAGTCAAAGAAAGAAAACGTAAGTAACTTAAACTTAATGAGGGACAGAAGAGGCGCAGCGAGAGAGGAAGTGCAACATGTCTGTCACTTGTTTCGCTTTGTTGACTTTTTATGACAACTGATCTTTAATATTAAAGAGAATAGACTCTGTAGCGACATCTTTTTTTTTTTTTTTTTTTTTTTTTTTTTTTTTACTTACCATGGCATATAGTTAACAGAAAGCACGAGAAAAGAGAGAAGGCATGTATATGTATCATATGTATATGCATATACATACCTGCATATATATATATACTTATATATATATATTATATGGCTCGACAGATATCTGTATAAACACATATTGTATGAATACAGATGCGTAAATGCTGATGGTAAATAAATAAGAGATAGATTTACTCTGTTTACCTAATACTCATTTCATAAAGTTAAGAAAAGAAAGGTTAAGTGAATTAAGCAGTAGGATTTGTACTTTATTTTTGGTAGACCAATAACCTGTATAACAATCCCAGAGAAAGTTCAGTTTTTGTGATAATTTTCATCAGCAATTTTCTGTTGCAACGAAGGGCAGCCTAGAGATCTCGTTTGAAGGGAAGCTGAGGAGGCTCAACGAGTCCTTCGAACTCCTCGCTAGACGAGGCTACGAGGACTCGCGATTCCTCCTCCCAGTCCCAGTGAGGAAGGATGCTGAGAGTGTCGTCCTATTCCTCAGCGACGGGTTTGTCCTCTAGTACAGCCTTTTCTTCAGCCATAGGTTCCTCCTTAGCCACTGGTTCCTCATCGGATGCAGCTTTTTCCTCAGCCATAGGTTCCTCCTCAGCCATCAGCTCCTCAGCCATTAGCTCCTTAGACATCAGCTCCTCAGCCACTACTTCCTCCTCAGCCATTAGCTCCTCCTCAGCCATCAGCTCCTTAGCCATTAGCTCTTCCATGCCTGCAGCTTCCTCCTCAGTCATAGGTTCCTCCTCGACGGCCTCGTCGGCCTTGACCATGAAGGGGTAAGTGTAAGGGAAGCTGTAGGGGAAGGTGTTGGGGAAGGTGTTGGGGAAGGTGTAGGGGAAAGTGTGGGGGTAGGTATAGGTTTGGGGGAGATTGTGACCTGTTGGAGGAGGAATATTTAGCACGATATGTATAACAAAGAATTCTGAATTACGAATATTTGATGGCATTTTGATATCACTTTGAACAGAATAAGGAATATTCTAAATTTTGTCAAAATGTAAAGATACATTTGAAAGATGTATTAGCTCCTCCTCACCCATAAGCTCTTCCATGCCTGCAGCTTCCTCCTCAGCCATAGGTTCCTCCTCAGCCATTAGCTCCTCCTCAGCCATAAGCTCTTCCATGCCTGCAGCTTCCTCCTCAGCCATAGGTTCCTCCTCGACGGCCTCGTCGGCCTTGACCATGAAGGGGTAAGTGTAAGGGAAGCTGTAGGGGAAGGTGTCGGGGAAGGTGTGGGGGTAGGTGTAGGTTTGGGGGAGATTTTGACCTGTTGGAGGAGGAATATTTAGCACGATATGTATATAAAAAGAATTCTGAATTACGAATATTTGATGGCATTATGATATCGCTTTCAATAGAACAATTTTGTCAAAATGTGGAGATACATTTGAAAGAGAAAATGTTTTGAGTATGAGACTGACCGTAGGGGTAGACGAGGGCACGGTGCTGGCAGGTGTATGTGCCTTGGCAGAGTTGACGACGGGGTAGGAGGAGTGGACGTATGGATGGCCGTAGGAGTAGACGAAGCCGGGGTGAGGAGAGGGCATGGCAGCAGCACAGGCCGCCAGAGCGAGAACCAGCTGTCACGATGTTCAACATTGCATTAGATATATAAAACATATTCTCCTATAGAAGTCGGACCATAAATCTCAATTGCCCTGTCTTATTCTCCTACGCTGATTGAAATACAAGTACAAGAACACTTTAAGACACAGCGAGTCTTACCACAACCTGCATGATGAATATTCGTCTTTGGGAATCCGAGATGGACGACTGACAGCTGACTAGGCTCGTCGCAGGTTTATATACGCAGTCCATAGTAGGGGGAACAAATGG